CCAGCCTTAATAAATCAACTCTTTTGAGCCCGTTTGAGGTTCAGATTATGTGTATACCTCAAAAATATTTTCCTTTTTTCCTGAATTAAAAAAAAAAATAAATAAAAAAGGTGGGTTTTTAATACAGGAACCCTGGTGGTGTAAGGCAGTGGCTCCTCACTGGGATTTATCCTACCTGGCCAACATGTTCTATGAATTTGTTTTACACAAAGGATGTAGGGTCAGAGTGGGGTTTGGGTTGGAAGGAACCTTAAAGATCATCCAGTTCCACTCCCTGCCATGGACAGGGACACCTCCCACTAGACCAGATTGTCCTAGAGCCTTCTCTTCTCCATGCTGAACAACTCAATTATTTAGCACTTTTAAAAATTGTATTTTCTTTTCTTTGTGTGTTTAAAGGTATTAATCCCAAATCTACTGTGTACTCCAGAACAGAAACCAACTCTAGTTTTGCTCTCTTCAGACAGCAAACTTCATTCTAGACTGAACTGAGAATGAAGATGCCCAATTGTCCAGTCCCTGATTTTCTCAAGAGTTATTTAAAAGTCTCTCTCAAGAGTTTTTGGCAAGTTGGGAGCCCGCTGCATTCAGTGAACATACAAATACTGCTGTGCAGCCACTTTCTCCGTGGTTCACTTGGAAAGTGGGGGTGAAAAAGGCACAAAGTCCTTTCCTTCCCCCTGTCCAAACTCTACTTCTCCACATAAAACCCCAATGAAAAGTTCCTCTGGCAGATGGTGCATAGATCAGGCTTCATTGCTTTGCATTTTGCAATGTTGCAGGAGCAAATAACACTTTCCTATTCCTGCTGTGTGTCACACCACGGAAAGAGAAGCAGTGATTTTCTATATAACCCATCCTGCTCAGGCTGGGCATAGTCCTGGGGTTTCCCTAGCTCCTTTCTGAAGTATTTCGGGGGATTATTTGCAGTACTAAAACTGGTATATTCCAGTAAACTCTTTGACAGTGCTGACCATGAGTTTGACAGAAGCATTCTGATCCTCCACTGTGAAGTTTCTATCCATGGAGATGCTCCTCAGCATGTCCTCTAACTGTATTTTACATGCCAGTCTGTATGCTTGGGCCAATTTCCTTCAAACAAGTTTTAAATTATGTGCACATCTCTGGATGAGTGATGCAAATAGTTGGCATCGTGAATGGAATGCCAAGAGGTTGGGCAGGGTGTGATCCTTATCCAGGATGGTGTAATTACAGCAAAGCAGGAAAGCAAGAAGGAAACCCTGATCCATTGGTTGGAACTTGGTATCTCCCAGTGTTGACCTGGAAAAGAAAAAAAATTGCCTTGGTAGGAATTATTTGTTGTTAAATATCTCATAAATGCCCACATGGCCATAATTTCGATTAGGGATGAAGAGGCAGTGATCTAAGGTTTGTGTCTAGATACTGTGCTTAATAAGAGAAATTATTGAAAGTAATTCCAGGGTCTGAGCTGGTTTGATCTTCTCTGTACTATGTTCTCAGAGAAGGGGGATTTTTTCAAGGTTTCTACCCACAGAAATGGAAAAGTAGGCTGTGGACCAGGTTTGCTTTTAGGACTTTTTGTAAACAGCATCATTAACTGAACAAATTAAAACTTAGCTCTCATTTTTTGGTGGCAATGAGATGCATCCTGAGGCCACCTGAGGAGTTTCAGGTGAGATGAGGTGTCTGGAAAGGTACATAAAAAACATGTCCCCAAAAAACCCCAAAGTTCATAAGAATTCACTGTGACAGTGGTGCAAAAACAATCTAATGACTAATGCTCTTGCTTTTCAGATAATAGAAGTCTATTTTTGTTCTACCATGTCTCTGTCTCCAACATCTCATTTTTATTTCCCAAGTCCCTGCATATATTTGTATTTTGTGATGTGCTTTTCATGTTGCCTCTGCTGAACTGTCTTTCTCTGTGAAAAGAAATTAATAAAGCTAAGCCAAAGGGAAGGTGATTGACTGTCCCACTTGGGAAAAAAAACCTAAAAAATATTTTGTGATAATAAGCTCATAACATTCTTTGGGAATTGTACTTCTATAAAATGCTCTTTGAATTGAACTTCAGCATTAAAATTTATGCACTCATTTGGTATCATACTTTTTCCTTCAAGAAAGATAAACATTTCAGTCTTTGAAGAGTGTGAAACTGAGAGCATTCAGCAGTAGCCCTAGCTGCTGGAATTCCTCAGTAGGCTGCTAAGCAATTCCAGTGATGAACAGTCTGGGTTTGCATTTGGGAAATGTACAGTAATCACTGCAAAAATATGGCATTGCAGCCAAGGAGATGGATCATTTTATCTGATCCTTACAAAGGCCACCTGGATGGCTGTTTTGGAATTTGATGTCACTTAAGCAAGCTGAGGTGTTTTCTTTAGTTCAAAAACTGCTTAATGTGAAAAAAGTCATTTATTGTGTACTTAGCAAAGCATCCACTAAAACTTGAGAGGCTGAAGATCCTCCTGGGGTAGTTTAAATTTCAGAAAAACACTCACAAAAGCAATTACATTTTTAAATGAATAATTTATTTGGGGTGCTTTAGATCAGATCCTTGTTTACAGTTTCTCACCTTATGCATTTCAGCTTGGTAATTGGTTTGGTCTGTACAGACAGGTTTTTCAACTTGCCTAAATCCCCTGTCTGGAGGGAATCAGGTGTCAGGATGGGATCTGTGGTGTCTCCAGATGTTGGCATCCTCCTTGTTCCTTCTGAATTAGTTTTTTAAAAAAGAGCAATTGAGTCTAACGTATTTTTATTTATTCAAATAATGATAAAGCATTTTAATAAGCCATGACAGAACCCGTGGCTTGTCTCATGAGAGGTTTTCCTGAGTTCAGCAACTTGTGGCTTCAGGACTTCAATTTGAGTTAGCTACACAAATTGTTAAAAATATCTAATTTCCTCATTCCTTTCTCATCTTACAACATTTAAAATCTGTTAAATATTTGTGTCTGGAATTTGTATCAACATGTTTCTTGTGCTGACATTGTTTTAAGCTAAATCAGACTGATTTTCTTCTATTCATTTACATCAATGTCTCCAAAAAGGGCTGGTTGGTATTTTATATTGCTTTTCCCTTCCTTATATAGAGAGAGTTTGATTTATTTTCTGGAAAAGGCAGCTTTGAAGTGTTTTTGTATTGCTTTGCTGAATCCTTGGGATCTGTCTTTATAATTTTTACTAGGACAGTAGGCAGGGTGTGACCCTTCAGGGCATGTGTGTATTTGCATTTCCTTCATGATGTATTGACTCCAGCTGGTGAAGGAAAAAGTGCTCAAATATATTCTACTGATGGACCAATTCTTCAGTGTAAATGTCACCTTTAGGCCCAGGATTCCTGAAGAGTGAATTGCTTTTCTTAATGTTCTTGACTGACATCTTCAAAATAGAGCCATCAAGCAAAGTTGCCGCATGGGGTGCACAGCAATTGAGTTGTCTTGAATTCTGTTGTTATTTTTATAATGGATATCCCACATCCCAGAGCACTTTGCTGTTAATTCCGTGGTTTTGGCTGCTGATTCTGCATGCCCTGGGACTGTTGGGTCAAGCAGCTCTTTCTGGATTTGCACACTCCAGGATCTGAAGTTCTGCAGTGTAAGGCTTCTCTGCACAATGCTAGTTCTACAGCCACAATGTTAGTATTATATATTAATATATTATTAGAGTATCATATATTTCTTTTCCCTCTTATGTCAGGTGTGGGTTCCCCTAGAGGAGTGTTTGTCACTCTCTTCTTTTTGCCTTTTATTTAGAGGAACACATCAACCACCTAATGCAAGATCTGCCTTTGTGTTTATTACAAATATAGATTCTGATGAATTCCATGTTCTTCCATGAGCACCTCCTTCTGGAAATGTGGCAGACCTTGGAAAGAACCCCACAAATCTGGGGGAAATAGTCTTTTTAAAATATCACCAGCTTCTCTCTAAAGCCCTTTTAGCTAAAACTGCTGCTGCTGTGCACCACACTGACAATTGCTGGTAAAATTGCCTGCTAAATGGTAGTAATCCTAAATATGAGTCTGTGTGAACTGAACACCTCGTTTGGGCAATATTCCTTTAAGCCCTCTAAATTGCTGGGTATTGTAGATTGCCAGAAAATGAAACCACAAAGCAATTGATTCTTCTGCCTGGGAATGCTGCCTTCAGATTTCAGTTCACCTAAAAAATAATAACCTGAGGTGAAAAATCAAAATATGAAGACAAACGTATTTTTGGAGTGGGAAAGTTTTTTTTCTCAGGGAGTTCATTTGATTTGCATATCCAAGACAGATTTAATTTTGATCACTCCCATTTACTCATCTGGAAGATGAAATTATACAAACAAGTCCTTTTCTTGTCCAGTGTCTGGAAGGTGTAAGAACTGCAACAGGAAAGAAGTTCAGTGCAGAAACTTGGAGATGAGTTCTCTCGTCACTGCCACTTGTGCATGTTCTATAGAAACTGGGTAATGGAACCTAAAAATCTCATTTAAATGTAATTCAATTACAGTGAAAACTGTCTGAATCTTTTTCTGCTTTGAACCTTAACGTTTTAGAATAGGTCTAAAATCAGGAAAGATGTGCTGAAGGTTGGAGCGTGAAAAAGCTTTTGTGACTCAAGTTAAAAATTTGCTTAAATGTTTAATTTAGTGTCTGATGTCTCCCCCAGAGGAAAAAGGTAAATTGCTGAAGGAAGAAAAAAATTAAATTTCTGTGGAATAGGTGAGTGTCTAGAGGCAACACAGTGTTTGCAGACATGTCAGATTATGTGAAAACTGAGTATATATATATATATTAGAAAAAATCAAATTGCTTCTGAGTCTTCCCTTGCCTGGTTGCATTGCTCCACTACTGTGAAGAATACATGTATGTCATGGTTCTTGTTGGAGAATGTCTTTTCTCATTCACTTCGCCAAAAATGTGATTTTTTAAAAGTTTGCAAGATCATGACTGCTTTAATTAAAAAAACCCAACCAACCAACCAACCAATGCTAATTACAATTTACTCTAGTGATGTGTTTTGCTTTCTCAGTTGCATTTTCAGGCCTTGGCTTCACCACTTTTTACCTGGCTGGAAAGCTGCACTGCTTCACGGAGAGCGGCCGAGGGAAGAGCTGGAGGCTCTGTGCAGCAATTCTGCCCCTCTACTGTGCCATGATGATTGCCCTGTCACGGATGTGTGACTACAAACATCACTGGCAAGGTGAGATATGGACATACCCTGTTTTCCTACTCTTTTTTTCTTAATTAGCCATGTGTTTCTTTGATTATTTTTTCTTTTCACTGCATCACGTGAGTTAAAACACATCGGTGTGCTGTAGATTTTCCTTGCTCCTGGATTGACGCTGGGGTTTCCTAGCAAGGTTTAATTAGCTAGCACTGACCTTCAGAGCTTCAGGACTCTGCCACAGCATCCTCTCCTCCCTCTCAGCAGGGAATTTTGGAGTGCAGTGCCCATCAGATCAGCTGCATCTGTCACTGTTGTCTCAGAGTCCTTCGAAGTTCAGGTGTGAGACATAACTGATGCAGAAGGCTGCGCTATTCATCAATTACACACTCATGTGTGGCAACTCAGAAAACCCTGCCATCAGTTATTTATTTTACCATTTCTTGACCCTCTCTATAGCCACCTTTGTAGCTTCCTTGCTTTACTCATGTCTTCTGTAATTACTTTTTTCCTATTTGTTCCTATACTCCTGTAAGAAATACCATGCATGGTATTTCTGATGCTGTTATGAAGGCCATCCTGGCTTTCTGTGGTATTGCTAGCACTGTACTGCTGGCCTTGCAAATTGAACTCCCCTCAAGGTCCTGAGTGCTCCTTTCAATTACCTGAAATTTCAGTTTCATACTGGTTACATGCTGTTTCCCATTTTCCAGCCCTGTGGTGGGTTGATCCTGGCTGGACACCAGGTTTGTCACTCCCCTCCTCAGCTGGAAGGCTGAGAGAAAATGCAGTGAAAGGTTCATGAGTGGAGATAAGCTGAGGGAGAGATCACTCAGCAGTTGCTGTCACGGTGCCTGGAGCAGCTCCCGCCCCTCCTTCCTCACTGACCTGGGTCAGCAGGGCTGTTTCTCTCACGTGTTCTCACTCCTCTCTCCAGATGCCATTGCAGTTGTCCAGATTTTGTATCCAATTTTTTAAATCTGTTATCCCAGAGGTGCTCCCACATCCCTGCTGTGCCCAGCCTTGGCCAGTGACAGATCCATCCTGGAGCTGGCTGGCATTGGCTCTGTTGCGCATGGAGAAGCTTCTGGCAGATTCTCACAGAAGCCACCCCTGCAGCTCCCTCTGCTACCAAAAGCTGACCCCAAATCCCAATACAAAGACACAGCATTCTGTTGGTTCCTTCACATCATTTCAATGAATTGCTGCATTGCTCTGTCCCCCTGAGCACCTTCTCACCCAGCAGCCAGAACCAATCTCAGCCAGGCTGTCTCTCATCCTGCTGTGCTGCTGCTGTTCTGCAGCTGCTTAATCACCAGCCATTAGCCTTGACATGTTCTCTGAGGAGCCTCCTGGTTTCCAGCAGAGCCTTGTCTCGTTTCAGGACTCACTGCTCTCCTTTTCTCAGTGACACTGGGGCTGGAGAGAGCCTCCAGCACGGAGCTGCTGCTCACGAAGTGCTGCCTGGCCAGGCTGGCGGGTGGCACAAAAACACATGATGCTTGGCTGGCTTGAGCTGCCTGCTGAAGAGAAAAGGAGGAGTATGAGGAAATGAGGAGAGCACAGGTTTACTCCCCAGTTTGGAACACGTGTTTGCAGCGTGTACTGTCTCTTGCCAGAATTATTTACGGACAGAAAGGTGTGCTGTGAGGCAGGGGATGACGGTGTGCTTTGTACAAGGTGGAGGAAAACTGCACCCAAGGGCTCGGGACTCGGTTCATCACAGCTGCTCCCGCTCTGCCTTTGAATTTTAAGGAGATGGAGCTGCAAACTCATCTCTTGCCAAGAACAGTGCAGACATTAATCCTGCAGGTGACCCCTGCTTTCCCCTGAAAGAGCTGTGCTCCCCAGGGAGGGGCTTGTTCACTCTGGGCACAGCACAGAACCTCAGGCCTTGGCTTTTATGCTCAGCAGAGTTGGCTAATTGTGGTAAATTATTTATGGTGGCTTTGTGATGGAGCCTCAACTATGCTGTGGAAATGAAAAAGGACCATTAGTTCTGAGTCCATGACTTAGCACAGTGCAGGTGAGAGATGAAGTGGAGTGTCTCTGTATTAAAAATCCATTGAGTGCTCTTACAACATTAATATTATGAGAACTTTATGAGCTCCCTTCAATTTGGCTGGAGAGAATGATATTCGAGGCCTTAGTATTGGTATTAATGAATATTAGGGTATTTCACTGTGAATCCTGAATTCCTTAATATATCAATTCCCAATATATAAGTACCTCTATAGTCTTATAATTCTGAAAATGTTAATTTACTCATGGAGTAAGGGAGAATTGTGTATGAAAAAAATAAAGTTAAAAACTGAGAATGAAAGAATATTATCTTTCCTTTATGGACAAAGGGAAAAAAAATAAAAAGAGGAAAGTTATTCCTACCATGAAATCAAACAAAAGACAGAATAGTTTGTTTCAAAAACAGGAGCTGCCTGTGTTTTTGCTTATTAACCCCATTAAGCAAGGTCAGCAAGATAGAAACCTTTGGCATAAATCATGTAGTGAATTTGTATTACTGTGGTGCCCAAGCTGAGGCCCAGAGTTGAATAATTTGTGTAAAGGGTTTGAAAGAAATTATCTGGGCAAGTTTTCAGCAAGCCTTAAAATCTCAGGGAACTTAAAGAGGACTGGAAAAATACCTGGTGTTTCTCTATGATTAATAATAGTAATCATAGTCTTGACCTGATTGTTAAGTAAAATAAAAAATCAGCTGGACCACTATTCAGTCAAAGTAGGATAATCTGATAATTGCACCCAACACAGGTTTATAGAAAATTAATCTTGTCAAAATAACTAAGTTTTTTACAAGTTGATTGATGCTGTGCAGTGGAAATTCTTGCTCTCAGTACCTTTAATACCATTATAGTTTGGTAGGGACAGGCTGATGAAATCAGTCAGCTTCCAGTGTGGGTAGGATAAGTTACTGACTGCATACAATCACCTTTCAAATTCTTGTTTGAGCCCCTGTTACATTAATTTATGAAAGATTCAATATGTCCTTTTGTGTGGAGGAAGAGAACATAGGATTAGAAGGCATCTCCTGGGTCATTCCATGCAGTCCTGTTCCTCAAACGTGACTTACAGTCAAATTTCTTAAATTTATTCATCTCAGTATTAAATTTTTCAGGTTTTCTTGCCCTAGCCATTCCTGATAAAAGGCATCTCACTCCTCTGGTGATTACAAACTATCTATTATGCATTAAAAATTGAACCACATGGTCTTTGTTCTAATAAAAATCACACTGACAAACCAGGGCATTTAATCTCTATTTAAAGACTTTAGACAAAAATAATTTGTATTGATTTACCCTTTTTTGCCAGTAAATCCAATGATTCACCACTTTTATTACACTTTGGGTTTTTTGAAATTGAAATAATAGGAACACAGGTATATACAGATGATGTGGTGCTGAATCGGTCTTGTTAAAATAAAATGCGTTTTTAATTTATTAAAATATTTTAATACCAGTACTTTTTGCCTCACTTCATTATTCTGCATGTTAAATCTGAGGCTTTCACAGAGGGTGTATTTTCAGTGAAATTTTTCTCTTGTTGATTATAAATGAAACACAAGATGAGGTGAGTATTTTAGAGGCAGAAACAGAAAGGAGTCCTCCATAAAAAATTTAAAATTGCCTGAGTGTGAGAGCTGCGAATATCTCATCCAACAGCCTTATTTTATCTTACTTTATTTTCTGATAGGAGTTTGAGATAGTAAAAAACATCAAAGAAAGATATTCAAAAGGTATTAAATCAGTTAACAGGCATGCTTAGCCTTTGACCCTTCAGATGCTTCTGGTAAGAATTCATCCAGCTTTAAACTGTGTGCTTTTGGAAGTGGGAGAAGATCCATGGATTGTCTACCCACAAATGATCAGAAATGATCAGAATCTGGAACATCAGGAGTGTTTGATACCCTGTGGAGGCCGTTCTATTCCCAGTGTTCATCTCCCAAAACAGCCAACCCTCTGCAATTCCGGGTGCTCAAAATATTGCACAAGTCCCCAGGGACTGATTTCATGTGTCTGGTATGATTGTGGTATTTGGTTCCAAATTCTTTAGGAAAACTCAAAACTCACGGTTTTTGTGTTAAGCACTTTCAAGTCAACCAAATGTCTTTTATTTGCAATTGTCACTCCTGGCTGCTCTTTCCCTGGTAACGTGCTTCTGGTTTTGTTGCTTTTTTTCTCCAGATGCTTTTGTTGGAGGGATCATTGGCCTCATTTTTGCTTATATTTGCTACAGACAGCACTACCCTCCTTTGGGTAATACAGCCTGTCACAAATCTTACGTCAGCCTGCTGGATCAGAACTCAGTGAAGAAAGAAGAGAGAGCTACAGCAGACAATGCCACTGGGCTGCCTCTGGAGGGAATAACTGAAGGTCCCGTATGACTTTGAGAAATGTGCAGAATGAACTTTTAGCCTTCTCACATTTCCTCCAAACTGGTCTCTTAACAGTGGTTCTTACTGTACATTTTTTCTTTTGTTTCTTTCCTTTTTTATAAAGGGAATTTAAGTATTTTATTTTTAATGCCATAACATCATATTTTAAAGTTAAATTTTCAGTCCATACTGACTTGCTGAATTACAGTCTACTGCAAACAGGTAGAGCTACTCAAGGGAAGGGGAAAAGAACATTATTAAAAACAATCTCATGTGGAGAATGGTTAAAAGAATAATTCTGAGATGTGGCTGAGCATATACTAGATCTGGAAAGAGATTTTCTGAAGTACTGAGTATTTTCTACAAAGTCCTGGTCATTCTCAACACTCATTGATTTTGATGAGTGGTGAGTACACAGAGCACTTTTCATCAGGTGCTCAACGTCTGTAATTTGATAATTTAGGGGCATCATCCTTATGTTTATCTTGCTGCCTTCTGATGTTAACAAAAACCTCCACATGCTGGTGGGACTTTGTATTAATTGTCAAGTTTTGCCAAGGTCATTCTGAGCTACTAATGAAGAAGGTGAAAGGAGTGGATGGTGAAGTGCTTGTAAGAGCCAAGCCTTGTGCATTTGTAGTTCCACAGGATGACTCTCACGTTCAAGAAATTCCATGCTGTTAAAATTACCAACTAAGAACAACAGACAGGATGGATTAGAAACTTGGTATTGCATCATCAGCAATTTTTGAGAACTCTTGGAGTATTTACCGTCAAAGCAAATCAAAAGGAAAGAACACCCTTTGCATTTAACAAGCTGAAGTCTTTCAAACAGACTTTTAAAACCCCCTAAAACTGGGAGGATAAAGAAACACAGAGTTTTCTGTGGATCTCGGTGTGCCATGTTCATTCTTGTGTGGTGACTCACTGCAGCACTGGTGATCTAAGGAAATGCAAAGATTCTAATTTGTGACTTTGAACGCACAACCACGAGTGCTTGTGGTGGTTTCCAGCACTGTAAAATATCCAGAGGAAGGCTGGAGACGCTTTTCCACTAATCCCATCCCACATTTTCAGCTCACCATGCTCTTTCGGCATGGTGCTTGCCAAGGTTGGCTTGGGACCTGAATTGGAGCTCACCTGAATCAAACTGCTGTTGGTATGGAGAAGGTTGACAAGTGTGTGACCTAAGTTAATTTATTATCAGTAGGATTGTTAGTTAGGTATGCACTATGCAGTATACATCACATTCCTGTGAGATGATGTACCTTTGGATGGCAGAATGTCAGATTCCAGGTTTTTTTTCTCCTTAGGTATCCTGTGAAAAATGCAGGCAAAATATTCCAGACCACACCCTGGCAGTTGAACATTTCTTGGAGCAATCAAGACAATGTTGATCAACGACCACAATTACGGTGCTTCAGACTGGAGGAGACTGCTGCCATTATTATTGTAATTATAATTTCTGTGTTCCTGTTGGAATATGCATCGGCCTTGTAGACATTTTGTGATTCAAACAGATCGATGTCTTTATGTAAGGCTTGTCATATACTTTCCTCAAAGCTAAGCTTTGTAGAGGTTTTTTTTTTGGAGAAGAGCTGCTTCCTGATTGGCAACACTTGAATTTTTATAAAAAGCAAGTAAATTAGGGTCCTATTAAAAATAAACCTAATAACTGTGTACAAGAGTACTGTGTATAAACTTATATGATATTTGGAAATGACTATAAATAGGAAGTGACACTAAGGAACAGAATGTAACAGGAGTGAACACGGGAGGTTCTGTAGAAACCAGACTTTGCAAAGCTGCTACAGCTTAACTGTGTCAGAGGGAGGATGTTTCACTTACAGAATTCTGAGCTCTACAACAGAGACAGTCAAACTTACCTGTGGTTTTCCTGGTGAATATACAGTAATTCACAATACCAGCATCAGCAAAGCAAAATTATTTGGCATTTGCACTGGATTTGACAGAACATTCCTCTGGTGTGGTTGAGATCTTATTCTAGAAACACACAGAGTTCAATGGAGGTTTAATATTCCTACAAAGTTTTTAAACCATCCTACAGAATTCTGGAACAAATATAGTTTTCTATTAGTTCATGTGGGAGGATTAGTGAGAGCCCCAGAGTCAGGGTAAGGCTTAGCCATTAGCTCCTTTTTTCAGCAGGAACCCTAGTCTTCCAGGTTATATGCAAATGTTAAAAAAAATAAATAAAAAAATATCTTCAATCAAAATTAGACATTTAATACTGATGCATAGAGCATTTTGCATGTTTTTATATAGATCTGGCTTATTCTCAAAATGGAGTGGGGCTTTCTAACTGTGCTGTACACATTCTCAGTATTTTAATGGCTTTTGATACAAATGATCTGTCTTTGGGATGAGGAAAAGCTCAGACAGCCCTCAAATGAGTAGTGGCTGTTAAAGGATTGGAACATGAAGTGTAATACAGCATAAAAACTGAAATTGGGAGAGTAATTGGTGATCTTGGAAAAGCAGGAAAGAACAACACATTTTAATGGGAATAATTAAATCGAGAGTCATAAAGCAGACAACGTAAAAGGTTTGATTAAAATATAATTAAAATTATGAAAGGCTTAATGGAATGAAACTCTTGGAGGGATCTGTAGGTGCCACAATCACCAGTGCAAAGTCAGCGTAGGGAAGGCATTTTTGTGGATCAATGTATTTTAATCTCATGCTTTCTCAATGTGAAGGAAATGTAATGTTGTAATGCACCAATAAAACAACACATGAATGTGGGTTTGTACATCTGAATGTTATCATTTTTTTTGAGAAGAAAATAATTTAGTAAGTTATTTTTGTTAATAAACCATGTAGAGCATCACACACACAAAAAAGCCCTAAAGAAACAGCGTTACTCATAAACATTCATTACTGGTGCTATTAAAATGGAGCAGCCTCCCTCCTTTAACCAAAATAATGCTCTTCACCTTTCCTCCAGGCAGAGGTCTAGTATAAGTCTGCAAGGCTGAAATTCTATAATTGTTACCCAGCTAAACAGAGCAGGTCCCTTTCCCTGGTCCCATTCCATAGCTCAAATAACACTGCAAGTGCCATATTTAATAACAAATGTGTTTGGACTAGAACAGGAGAGCAATATCAAATCAAACACAGCAGGGATATCCTGAAACTATGAGACTGGGAACCAGTAAAATGTCCCCACAGTGAATGCAAATCTCAGGCATTGGGTTAGGAGTATTTGTGCTGATTTGTTCAGATTTTGTTGTTTTTTCTAATTTGGCCCTCTATTTTTTTTCCTGTGCAGAGAACAAATTATTTGATGTGAAAAGAGAACCTAATTTTCCTTCTTTCTATCCATGGCAAAAAATAATTTGCTGTCAACTGGGTGGGGAAAAAAACCCCAAACCTATGAAAAAGCCATATATTTGTTTTGTGGTACTAAAATTCTAATGACTTTGGGACAACTTCTCTGGAACACTGAGCACATCACATCCTGTAGGTGGAACAAAGCCTTCACATGGGTTTTGCTCATAGTCTCCAGTTTTTAAATTTGTCTTAAAACTGCTAAGCTGGACCGTGGTGTTGGACAGTTAGGAGTAGCACCCACAGGCATTATCTGAAATCAAATTTCTTATTACTCTTACCCACCTTTACAAGAAATACAGTCTCACCTGCCATCTCGGAGTACACTCCAGACTCATCTGATAAACAGAGTGCCTACATTTCTGTCCTAAGAGGCTAAAACTAAATAAGAAGTTTTCACTAGGATGCACCCAGTTTAATTCAGTTTATTATACAGAGAACTCCTGTTCTACAGGTCTGCAAATTACTCCCTGCTCAGGAACTTGCTATGAACAGAGAAAAAACATTATCATTTTGCCATTAGATTAAAATTTGCTCAATATGTATAAAGTTAAAATGACAAGACTGGGTGGGTAACTCATGATGCACTGAATTAACTGAGATTCTTTTTGCAGATACTACAGGATTTTTGCTTAAACTTGCAGAAAGAACAACAACAACAAAAAAATCAGCATTCAGACTGGTCCTAACTTTGGACTTTGTTTGATCCCAGAAAACTGTAATAAAAACATCTGAGCTGCAACAGATGTATGCTGAAGCTACAGAAGTGAAGATCTGTTTGTTATTCAATAACAGTTTTCTGAAAGAAAACTTTGCAAAGGGAAAAGCAAGAGGGATTTGGGATAACCCACATTACACAGTCTGAGCAGCAAGGTAGGAATGGGGCATGAAATAGAAAATCCTCACTCAATACTTAGTAAAAATAAGAGAGTGATGCATTCAGCCAGTTCAGGAGGACTGCAGAAAGTCAAGCATGAAACATGATTGAAGCAGCTCCATAAACCTTAAACCTTTGGACTGAGTCTCTTTGTTTGTTTGCCAAAAAAGCTCTTAATTTCCCTGGCAGATTTGCAGCAGCCATTCTGTCAAGCAACCAGATTTTAACGTGGTCTAAAACAAGTTAATTTCTAGGAGTAGATGGGCCTGGGCACAAGGACACTCTGGTTTTTATTCCAGTAATTATCTATGGCTTTTATTTGGCCTCTTGTTCACAGATGTAATTGTGCATTTTAATTCCAATCCACACCACTGTGTTCTCTGAGCTCCTCTGAGTCCCTGGTTCTTTCCATCTGCCTCTCTCAAGGTGATGAGAGGGGGAAGAGAATTGATGGTGACATGCACACACCTCCTTCTGGATGGTGGCTGTCTTTCCTCCTTTTCATCTTAGACTTTCCAAGTTTAATTAATGCATTCATATATGAGCAACACTCACCCACAACACGGAGTGCAGCTCTAAAAAGGACCAGATGTCATTGCAGAATTGCCCACCTGAGTCCAGACAGGCTCCAGCAGGAGGGCTCAGGTTGCCATTGTCCAATACACACAACTTCTCACTTTTTAAGCCAAAGGGAGTTTTAAAGAATTTTAAGGCTTTTAGAATTCTTAAGTGTTGCAATGAGAAAGGGTAGCCAGTAAAGGGAAGTTTCCAAATGCACTTT